AATAGTATTTATAGCCATTCAGAGAAACAACTGGAGAAGGTCCCCAAATGTCACTATGGATTAATTACAAACATTTAGTAGTTTTTGGACTAGATAAACTAAAGGACAAACGATGCGATTTAGCTCGCACGCAGGCAGAGCAATGAAAACTAGTATTAGATAAATTGCTGGTAGGAAGAACAATAGATAAAAGGCGCTGAGTTGAGACAGCCGGATGACCCAAGAGCTGATGCCATTGAGTTGCAGTAATGGTGGTAGTGTGTAGAGCTTGATCAGTGGAAGAGAACAAAGACTGCAAACTGGAGGAGGATTTAATGGGGTAGAGACCGCGATGACTGGGACCTTGGAGGAGAGTCCGGTTGGTCCGAGAATCCTTTATTGTAAATCCGTTAGAATAAAAAATAACGGAACAAGAGTTATCATTAATAAGTCGACTTACAGATATAAGGTTATGAGAAAGAGTTGGAACATGAAGAAGACATCGAAGAAGAAACTTACGCATAGGAGTGGGTAGGATGCCCTGTCCAGAGTTAGCAATGGGTAGCAGTTTTTCGTTGCCGACTTGAACTTGAGATGAACCAGCATAGGATTGTGGAGACTGCAACTGCTGAATATTGGAAGTTAAATGAGATGTAGCTCCTGAATCGAGAAACCAGTCATCATTTTGAGACATGTCAGAGGCAATGTATGTTTGCTGGTTCGGCTGAACAGAGAGATCAGTGCGGTACCAACACTGATAGGCAGCATGCCCTGGTTCGCTGCATATCTTGCATTGTATTGTAGTTCGGGGACGACGACATCCTCAATTTTATTGAGAAGAGGATCTACCACCTCTGGTCTGCTGAGAGGTGGATCTACAACGATTGTTAAAGCTCTGCCGACCACGAGATCGGCCACGAAATGTGGTGGAGGTTAATGTTGTATCATCCGATGTGCTCATGGTTTCAACAGTAAGTTCAGATAGAACACTGAGCTCTTCGCTGATTAACAAGGAATAAAAATCATCAAGACTGATGGGCTGCAGTTGAGTGCGTATAGCTATCTTAAACGCATTGTAAGACACAGGTAATCCATTGAGCGTATACAGCAGGATGTCTTGAGGATCAATCGTCGAGCCAGCAGCCGTAATAGCATCAACCTTTTGCTTAATCTCAGACAAATACTGAACCATTGATTTTTCCCCTTTTTGTTGACTGAAGACGTTTCTCAATCGTAAGCCATATTTCATGGCTTGTTTCAAGATTTAAAACATAGGGTAAAAGGGACTGGCTAATGGTGGAATACAGTGCTGCACCTAAATTCTGATCAACAAGCATCCAAGTTTGATAGAGAGGGTTTAAGCTTACAGTTCCATCAGTCACTAGCAGTTGCTTTTGCGGTTTGACATTTGTTCCAGTCAGGAATCCCTCAAAACTGTTCGTTGAAAACAGTTTGAGTATCTGTGATTTCCATATGGGATGATTTTCACCTGAGAGCTGAGTGCTGATCACAGATTTAACATTACTCATAAGAAATTTGAGCTGTGCATGAATTTTAGGTTCTTTGCACTTGTCCGTTGAGCTTGACGCTGGCGAAGGAGACAACGAAGAAGAAGATGAGTCCATGAGTGGCTCTGATACCATGAGGAGAACTGACGATCAAGGCCTTTGATAAACCTGCAGAAATTGTTAGACAAAACAAAGAGGAACAGGAAAGATTGAGGAAGCAAGTATAGCCATGAAACTCATGATTCATTTCATATCATCCATAGCTACAGTGCCAAGCTTTATAAATAAAGAAGATGGCAGAGTCCGTTAAGAGCCAGCGGCGGAGATCAGTTTAGCTACAGTAAATCAACGGTGAGTGATTCTCTGCATAGAGAGTAGTGGCTGTGATTTCAGATATTAGTGGATAACTTAGCCGACTGATCAGATAAGCAAGAGAAGCTATTAGGTGCGCTAACAAATAGGCATAGATGCTTAAAATTGTCATCATGTGAGCGATGTCTAATATAAGGTGAGGCGACAATACATAGTCATTGTTTAGAAAGAAAATAATACATCATGTATATCGTTTCTAGCTACAATAAGCTCAAGAGAAAATTTTGAGTCTACTATCAAATATCGTTTCTACCAAGCATATGTAAATGCAAATAAACCATTAAAGGTCATAACAAAATAAGGGTTGTAACAACCCAACCCAATATGACCCATAGACAGATATGTAATGTATATAAGCAATGCTTTTAATGATTTGGGGCTAAAGCAATATAAGCAATTGCACAAGATCATGTTAATTTTAAATTTTCATTATAACTTAGCCTTCATATAGATTTGCAAAAGATTAGATTAACAAATTTAAATATTCAGATCGCTCCTAACCTATAGGTAATCTAATATACTCATCATAGATCATAGAATACCATCACAAATTCAAACACATCCAGTCATCCAGCAACATCAAATAGCATCATGCCAAACTAAGACATAACTAATTTTCATATTTCAGAAAAGCACAGAAAATAATGTCCTAACCTAAAGCAAGAATTTGTTGTCATAACAAACAGTTCTAAGTATGTGACAAGATGTGCGAGTGTCAACCTATTAGTGTCTAAGCTTTATTTACTAATTAATTTCTTTTTATTTGTTTAAATCGAGTGATTTGTTTTAAGTTAAAATATTAATGCATTAAGATTTAATTAAAGGTTTTTGGATTTGTCATTTGAATTGTGATTTTAAATTCTTAAGATAAAATTAGAGAATAGAGTCTATCATATGATGGACCTCATTCACTAATAAGTCCTAAGACACAAGCATTATGCAATTATCCTACGTGAGAATGTGGAATAAAAGTAAATCCCAATTTTAATGATTTTTAAAGCATAAGGATTTTATTTAATGTGAATTAGATGAATTTTAAATAAGTTTATTTGGGACTTAACTATATTTGATTTATCTTTTCTTTTAGAGTTGATTTTTTGTTTTCTTTTAATTTTATTTATTTTATATTATTTTTTCCTTTTCTTTATGTATTTTTTAGAATATATAAAGGAGACTTTTATTTTAGATTCGATTTGATTTGATTTGATGTAGGTTTATGTTAATTATAGTTTTATAAATTAATAGAATTTTGTTTTTATATTTTTTATTTTTATTTTATTTTTAATGAATTTTCTAACTTTTAGGCCTTTTAGGGAATTTATTTAATTTGATGATAAAAATGAGATATTTAAAGGTTTTATTTAGTTTATTGTTCATTATGAATTTG